TAGGACAGGAATGCCTGCCTTCTAACTTCTGGTTCAATATTCTTTCCACTCATGCTCCAGATGCTGCCTTTGCCACACATAACAAAATCATCACTTACTTACTCAAAAAGACATAGGCTTTGAATTGAAGTGAATTCAATAATATTTATTGATGGTGAAGTAGATAGAGTGCTGGGCCTGGAATCAGAAAGACCCGAGTCCAAATCCAACCTCAGATTCTTACTAGTTGTGTGATCCTGGGCAAGTCACTTAACTGTGTTAAGCCTCAGTTTCCTCATCTGTAAAATGAACTGGAAAAGGAAATGGTAGAGCCACTCCAGGATCTTTGCCAAGAAAACCTCAAATGGGATCATGAAGAGTCAGACACAACTAAACGACCAAACAACAACACATCTACTATGTACTCTGTACTGTACAATAGAAAATACAAAAATATCTTCTAGAGTTGTCCAAGTTACCTAAATACATATTAAGGGGAAAAAAAAGTTCAAACCAATTTCATATTGTATGTATATATTTACACATACACAGATGGTATGCAGCATATACATATTATATATGCCACATGAAGCATATATTTGCTATAAACTTATATACGATGTATACTGTCCTACTATATCACCACATTGCCCTCTGCAAAAACATCTGCATATTTTTAATACACTATATGTCCTGCATATATACACATATGTGTATATGCAGAACACAGTGTGGTGATATAGTAGAAAGAGGACTGATTCTTGAGTCAAAGGACCAAGTTGAAATTCTATTTCTGTTGCCTATTACCTGCATGACCTTGATGAAGTCACTCAACGTCGCTAGGTCTTAGTTTCCTTAGTAATAAAAAGAGGTTGGAGCATATGGCGTGGCTTCCAACTCTAAATCTATGATGTTACAATCCTATGTAAGTAGGGAATTGTATTTAGAAGGAAATTGGAAATAAGACTGCTAGCACCCTCACAGCCTTATTTTCCTTTTATACTTGCCTGTAGGTGATAGTAATTTATGTGATTAGCAAAAGAGCAGTGTTTGTCAACCAGAAAGCAGAATCGCCTTTTCTCTTCAAGGAGAGCTTCTTTGCAGCCATCTGCAATGAATTTTTGGATGTCGCTCTGACGAGAGGTTACAGTTTCCACATACTAAGGAAAAAATGGCAATTATACAAGTTTTATAAGAAAGATAAAAATCAAGCCATCCTAATCAAAGAATCCAAGTTCACAGTACAAGCTCAACATTTATATTTTGACATTGGGTAATGTTGGTTAATTTTTTGTTAAATTAAAATTTGAAAATAGTGAATGTTAAATGTAGATACCCTTGCTGCATCAGATCTCAAAAAGATAATTTAAGAGCCTATTTTAAGATGATCCATTGTCAAACTGGACAATTGGGTGTCACACATTTTCAGTTTGATTCAGGAGAAAAATGCTAATGTTTTTAGGCTTTACTTATGAATTGTAGAAAACTCAACAGCCTTTAAATTTTGATTACTAATTGCTCTAAACTATGTCAAATTAGGACATCATTCATCTTATCAGGTAGAATATAAGTAGATAAAGATTGAGATAGACAAGCCTACCATTTACCAGGAATCATTTTCAGGCAAAGAAACAAATAAATCTAATCAGCCCCTAAAAGTGAAATTGGAAAAATCAGATAGGAATCTTCTATTTACCTCAATTTCTTTGTGTTCATACTTTAGGGCATTTCTTCCACCTTGACTTTTCCTTCTAATCTTTTTCAACTCCGCCTGAGATTTCTCCAAAGAATCTAATTTACTTCTGTGTTCTGTTTGGTATCTCTTTAGAGTTGCCTGTAATTAAAACATTATGCCAAAAACACGATATAAATGGTTACCCAATTATCACCATCAATTAGCATTTAATGAAGGGCCAGGTCCTCTATTTTGCATCTCTGATGCACCTTATAATTATAGTGGGGAGGTGAAGAATTGCCTGTTGGAATGGAAAAACTCTGCTTTGAGGAGACTTGGGCACTGGCTCCACCACTTGTTACATGATCATGAGCAAGTCAATTAACCCTTGTAAACCTCAACTTTCTCATCTATAAAATGGGTAGAAAAAATCTGGGTCCTATCCTGAAGAATTATGGGAAAGTTGAGTAAAACATTTTGCATATTATAAAGTGCTATGTCAATATTGCATGTAAGTTGTTCTGTATTTAAAGAACTGTTTGTATGTTTTAAAACCTTAGCTAGAAACTCTATGAAAGTAAGAACAATTATCTTTTTTCATTTTTAACACCACCCTTAACACACACAGACACAAACACAGTTTTGACACAAAAAAGAGGATTGTATGTGAAATGGTGAATCTCCATTTTACACTGCTTACTATTTTTTTTTACTTTAAGTATACAATATGTTCCACATATTACTTTCAAAACTGTCCTGTTTGTTGTTGCCTCCTTCTGAATTTCTGTTCTCTAATGTGTATTTAAAAAATGTTTCAATAGCCCTCTTTTTTGGGGGGTCATTGTTATAGCTAACTGTCCCATCTACTGTACTCCCAAGAAGAAGAAAAAAAATTGAGTTTGTATTTTTAAGAAATAATAGGATCACAGTATAGTCTAGTTATAACTGTCTTTATGTGTAGATTTGTATGTGTGGTTAGCATTTGTATATGTCTTTGGTTTAATGGCACTGTAATGGAGGGTAATAGTTTTCAATGGTGAGTAGCTCTAACTTTATTCTGGATGGGCTGGATGGGAAGGGAAAGCGACTTTTACAGCTTTCTTTACTGAAAGAAAATCTAAAAGATTCCTTAAAGACAGAAGTGGGAAGAGTCAAGTCAAGTTAAAAAGACAAGCATTTATTAAGCAAATGTGCATTCCAGGCACTGGGCTAAGTGCTAGAAATAAGCAAAGAAAGAAAAAAGGAAAGTAAACAAGCAAGTAAACAAGCAAACAGCTCCTGCCCTCAAAGAGCTTACTTACATTTTAATGTCATAATATTAATATAATGAGACAATATGTAAGATATATAGAGAAGAAATGGGAGGCACTCTATGAGGGGAAGGCAGGTAGGAGAAATGGGAATGGCCTGGAGTAGGGGAGATGAGCTGAATCTTGAAAATAGGGAAATTGAGAGGCTGAATTGAGGAGTGAGAATATTCCAGTTAGTTTAAAGGCATAGAGATGGCAGATAGGGTGTGCTGTTTGAGGAATTGTAAATAGGGCAGTATTGAGTATATGGAGAAGAGTAAGGTATAAAAAGTCTGGAAACGTAGGAAAGGGGTCAAGTTAAGATCAGTTTTAGATGTCAAAGGCATTTATATTAGATCCTGAAGTTAACAGGAAGCCACTAGAGCCCATTGGGCTGGGGGTGACAATGGTCAGACCCACACTTTAGAAAAATCACCTGAATGGAAGACAGACTGGAGTCAAGGGAGAGATAAAGCAGGGAAGAATGGAGGGAACAGAGGGAATAGCTGTCAAAATCACAAGGCATAGAAAAAGATGGGATGATAAAAGATGTGATCAGATAAAGGAATTTCAGAGTTTATAAACATGGAAATGGAATACTTGTGGACCAAGGGTATGGCCATCTGTGTGTAGCTGAGGTGGAATGGAAGAACAAGTCATGGGAAGTGAGTAGACTGAGGAAACATCATTATAGAGGTTGAAGTCTTCAAGTATGAGTACAAGTGACTCAGAAAAGAATTATGAGCCTAGCACAGGGCTCATTAAGAGAGAGAGAGAGAGAGAGAGAGAGAAAGAGAGAGAGAATGAATGAATGAATGATAGGGGTAGTTGTGCATAGATAATAATCACCAGGATCTAGCAAAGCTGGTAGAGGGAGAGTGTGGGAGGGCCAACGAGGAATAAAAAGCATTTTGGCTCCCCACTTGGGACCAGAGAGGGTGGAGAATGAGAGAAAGGGTGGTGAAGGGAGGGACAGTAGGAGGGAGTCAGGTTTCAGTAAGGGCCAGAAGATGGAAGAAAACAAGAGATTCAATGAAAGAAATTTAGGAAAAAAAGGACTGCAAAAGATCTTTAGCAAGATAATTGAATTGTAAAAAAAAAAAAACCAAACCAAAACCTGCTCAGTAGATTAGGTGGATGTTGGAAAAGGGAATGTAAGGACAATGCTGGGAAGGGCTCTGATAAGGTGATTGGGAGCCCAAAGGTCACATCAAAAGTGAAAAAAAAAATGGTAGTAGCCTTTTGTATTAACAGAAAAGGGGAAAGGCCAAATATGGAGAGCTCTGCTTGGTGGTAATAGTATAATTATAGGAGCATAAAGGACAGAGATTTGGGATGGGAATGGAAGTTCTAGGAGTGCTGAAGAAAACTCTTATTGAAAGGATGGAGGTGTGAACAAAGAAAAGGCTAAAAGTGTTTATTTAGATTGGTGAATGGGAAGGGGGGGAAAGAGGAAGGGAATACATATTTGTAAAACACCTCAAGGATTAGCACTGTGTTAAGCACTTAAAAAAAATACCAAACAAATATCTCATTAGATCCTAAGGATAATATTGATCTTTATTTCACAGTTGAGGAAAGTGAAGCAAACATAAGTTGAGTGGAACCACTAAGGCCACTAAGCCAGATGATGAACTCAGCTCCTTCTGATTTCATGTCCTCTGCTATATTTGAACTCAGATCTTCCTGATTTCAGGTCTTTATTATTATCATGACCATGATTATTATTTCATTTAATTCTCATGACATGAAGAAATTGAGGCGAACAGGTTAAATGACTTACCCAGGATCACATGGCTAGTGAGTGTTGAACACAGACAGGCCTGCCTGACTCTAGGTCCAGCACTCTACTAACAGTGCCATTTAGCTGCCTAAATTGAATATTTAAATAAATCAAAGTAATTATTTAAATAAATGAAATTAATTGAGTAAATGAGATAACATTTATAAAAAGTGCTTAGCACAGTGCTTAGTGGGCACTATATAAATGGTAGCTATTAAATTTGCAAAAAGCTTTAATGATTTCTTATAATATTTCTTCTACCCATTTTAAATAGGGAGCTGAGTATCTTTTAAAAACAAGCTCAGAAGAAAAGAAGGAAAGAAGGAAGGGAGGGAGGAAGACAGGAAGAAAGACGAGAGAGTAAGAAAGTCAGAATGCAAGAACAAAAGGAAGAAAGGAAGAAACTCCATCCAAGTTTTGGGGCTAGGAAACTGAAGGTTACTTCCTTGGTGACATTCACCAGTAGAAATCTGGGGCTTCTCATGACAGAAATAAATCAGTGTACTCACATTCATGTATTTGACGTCAAGTTCTGTCTTCTTCTCCAGTTCATGTATAATTTCTTTGTGGAATTTTTTGAACTACAGAAAGGAAAGATAGCACATGGTATATTTAAAAATAGTTGTTGAAAATTCTAAAATGATGTTGAATGAATTTCAAAAAGGCAAATATGAAAAAGGTCACCTACGTTTTCATCAAGACTGTCATTGAGTTTCTTGTGTGTATTTGAAATCTCTATAAGGACGTGTCCTACAAATAAAACCAAATATATTGAAAAATAACATTTCCATTTCAGAATTTGATATAAAATTGCTATAACTATATATCAAAACTGTGCTGTCATTGTGAAACTATCTTCTAAGAAAACCGTTTTGGCAATGGGGTCTTCATAGCTAATCTCCCCAGGATAGTGTGTGTGTGGGGGCACTTTTTATGAACTCTTGCTCTACCAAACACAGCAGTATTGAGACATTACAAGGGTATGTAACATAAAATGACTTCTTAAAATGTATATTGTCTTTTATCTTTTAACACAAGCTCACTATGCTTTGCCCCAGATGTTGTATCTGACAAACAATCACCTGGATGATTACAGTAACTAATTATAGGACCAGATTATAGCTTTTTTTAAAGTATAATCTTCAAAGATAATCTGATTATTTGTCAGGGTTAAAGGAAGAGATTACTTCCTTTTTCTAACATTTGCAAGTTCTTCATCACAGAACAAAGTAGTGTTGTTGTAGTTAGAAGCATGAACACTATTTGAACGTACATCTCATAGGACATAAGGCTAATCAATTTACTGAAACAACTGCAAAAAATTCTGTCAGGAGCCATTCACATAGAAGAGAATGTTTAAAAACAAAGTACAGGGAGGTCCAGATTAATATGAATAATGAATCTAGTGAAGTGTATTTGAATTAGAACTATTCTAATAGAAATATGCAGTGCAAATTTGAATAATGTGCCCATTTCACAGGATTCATTATTTTCACTCATTGGGGGCAAGCTGTAGCTCATTGAATGTTGAAGCTGCAAGGAACTGTAGATATTTTGGATCATCCTTTTCCCAAAGACCTGGCTATAAGTTTCTGACATATTAAAGATATTCTGGTTTGCATAGTGCATATATCTGTGCTGTCATTGGGATGTATATCTTTTTTGCTCTGCTACTCTAGCATGGTTAAATATGACCAACTTTCCATCAAATGTCTTCAGCAGAAAACAGTGGTGTGATGCTAGAAAAATATGGAAGCTAAAAAAACACCCCAAAGTAATTGAACTTACAGAGTAGAGAAGCAAACATGTGCATAATAAGTAACTGAAAATAAAGGGAGACAAATGAGCAGGGATCATTGACTTCCAACTACCTTTGACAGAATGTTGACCTAGTTCATTTAGCAAATGAGCAGAACCAATGGAACACTGTATGACAGTAACAGCAATATTGTTTTAGGAATGACTTTGAGTAAATTAATCATTTTGACTATTATAAAGACACAAATTAAAAATAAAGTACATATGAAGAAAGATGCTATCTGCATCCAGAGAAAGAACTGATAAATAGAAGAATGTATAGAATAATTTCACACACACACATATGTACCTATTTGTATCTAATGGTAGCCATCTCTAGACCAGGAGGTAGGTTAAAAAAAAAAGAACTTTACACGATAACTTTATTATATATTTAAAAGGAATAGCAAGTTATAAGTAACAGATTTGCAGTTTCATGTGTAATCATTTTTTAAAAAAAATTATACTATGCTATGGAAATGCTTCTTTTATTTCATAATTAAAAATAAAATAAATAAAAAAAGAAAGCAATAAAGGAGTGTTAAAAGAACAATCAAAGAGGAAGTATGGTAAACCTAAGGATCAAAATAAAAGGTAGTAAGTGGCAGAGCCTAGATACAGACCCATGGCCCTTGACTTTAGAGTCAGCACTTTCCCCATTCATTGCAATCACTTTGAACATGCAGCCTAGATGATTACTAGGTGTATTCTTAAGTTTCGTTCTTAAAACCTTCTAGCTCCATGCTTGTGATCTGATCCCAGACTCTGAGAGTTAGAAGGGACCTCAGTGACCATCTAGTCTGATCCATACCAAAGGAACCCTTTCTATTAAAAAGCCAAGAAGTGGTTGTCCAGATTCTTCTTGAAAACGGTCAAGGATAAGGAATCCAATCTTGAGGAGGCCCACTCCACTTTCAGATAATTCTAATTGCTAGAAGTTTTTTCCCCCCTGACATTAAGCCTAAATTTACCACCTTGAAATTTCCATTCATTGTTCCTGGCACCTCTGGGGGTCCCACAGAACAAGTCTAATAACACCCACATATGATAGGTCTTTAACTGCTTGAAGACAGCTGTCAGTATTCCTGACTATTCTCTTTTCCAAGCTAAAATGCCCAGTTTCTTCAACTGATCCTTATGACATAGACTCAAGGCCCTTTATGATACTGGTTATACTGATATTACAAAAAATTTAAAGCGTAAAAAATTTTTGAAGCCATGTCATATGCAAATGAAAAATCAGTCACTAAAATTTCAGTAAATTTTTGGTAAAGTTGTAATTTAACTTTTAAGTGTGGCATAGAGGATAGGGCACTGGACCCAGGTTCAAAATCTGCCTCAGACACTTATTAGCTGTGTGATCCTAGGCAAGTCCTTAAGATGTATGTGCTTGCTTCAGGCTTCCTCATCCGGAAAATGAAATGCCCTCTAAGGTTCCTTCTAGCTCTACATCTGTGACCTATGAAAAGAGGTATGTTAGCTATTGGGGGGGGGGGAGGCATGGCATAATGGGAAAAGAGCTAGTCAGAAGGAGATGAGTTCAAATCTTGCTTCTGACACATATGTGACAAAGGGTAAGTCATGTAACCTCTCTGAAACTTGGGCAACTTCCTAAGATGTACTGAAAATGTATCTATTAAGTTATAGAAGGGTTGTTATATGTATGCATTGGTGCCCAAATCACAGATCCTTGATGTATGCTAGATACAGTGTATATATATGTATGTATGTATGTTATGCACAGAATGAATATGCTATACATAGTTCTGGGACCATTTGATGTGTGGGATCCTGGCAGTATGCTAAATATAGTAGATGCATATTAGATGGAGAATGTATATGCCAAACAAAGTAAGGAACATTTCTTAGACCATTTGGAGGGTTTTCCTTTGACTAAATCTGGATCAGGAAAGAATAGAAAAGTCATAAAAATATAGCATATTTAAAAGATTGTTTTGTGGTTCATACTTTGATTCTTAATGTTGTCCAAGATATTATACCTCCACCAGAAAATGTCTTTGCATTTTCACAATTAATTGAATTGCACACCAAGGAACCAAATGTTAAATTTTTTTTCCAGTCCTGTGATTTTCACGAAAATTTTAATTGATGCCTTGTTTTTATATCACTTGAAAAAAGGTTTTTATTGATATCTTCTCTTTTTTACATTCTCATAGTTATCCCTAGTATCCCTCCCCCTCCTCTTACCGTAGAACCATCCTATATAACAAATAGTAACAAAAAGAAAAAGCAGAAGAAAAATCAGCAAAACATATCAATACACTGAAAAAGTCCCAAAACCATGTACAATGTGTAACCTGTGTACCTCCCACCTTCATGAAGGGGTAGGTTGGAGGTGTCTTCTCATATCTTTTCATTTGAGTCATCACATTTATTTTTGAATATATTTATTTCCCCTTCCTACCCAGAGAGCTAGCCCTGGTAACAAAGGATAAAAAGAGAAAAGAAAAAGAGGGAAAAAAAGCAGTTAAGCAAATCTAACCAAATATACCAACTGTAGGTGCCAAATTAAAGACTACAATCTAGAACTAGGATCTGTGATCAAGGCAAATGGCATTAAATCATTAGATATGTAAACAGAACAGCACAATGGCACAATCTGCTCACTGTATCTGCTGGTCCTTTACCCTTGCCACAACACACACACAGCCATCTATGTATGTATGTATCTATCTATCTATAGGTGCAAAATGGTACCTACCAGGATCTTTTTGCTCATTCAACTCCAGAACTGATTTTCAAACAGTAGTAGCTTATTTACATAATGGTTATTGAATTTGAAAGCTATCATTGGAAAGAGGACTTAGACAAACTGCTTTTATACTGAGCTCACTGGTAGATTTATGAGGCAGCTAAGTGGCACTATGGATAGAACTCTGGGCATGGAGTCAGGAAGACCTGAATTAAAAATCTGGCCTCAGACAGTTACTCACTGTGTGACCCTGGGCAAGCCTCTTTAACATCTATTTGTTTCAGTTTCCTCAACTGCAAAATGGGGATGCTGATAACACCTGTATTGCAGAGTTGTGAGGATCAATTGAGATAGGATTTGTAAAGCACTTAGTATAGAGCCTAGAACATAGTAGGCATTCTATAAATGCTTATTCCTTTCCCCTGTAGATTTATTATCTTCTTGTTATTTAGCTGTTTCAGTTGTGTCCGACTCTTTTGCGATCCCATCTGGGGTTTTCTTGGCAGAGATATTGGCGTGGTTTGCCATTTCCTTTTCCAACTCATTTTACAGATGAGGAAACTGAGGCAAACAGGGCTAAGTGATTTGCTCAGGGTCACACAGCTAGTTTCTGAGGCCAGATCTGAACTCAGGAAGATTAGTCTTCCTGACTCCAGGCCTGGCATCCTATCCACTTGCCACCTAGCTGCGCATTTATTATCTTCAAATATTTATTTCTTCCTTTCCCACTGTGAACTGCCAACTTTTTTGGCAGAAATAGTCAGAACACCCAGACTATCAAAACCTTTGATAAAGTCTTCCTCATTGTAGATTAAGTTTCTTCTACAGAAACAGGCTTGTTTCATACATACTCTTCACAGAACTTAGAATCAGAAGGGAACTCAGAGGGCATCTAATCCACTCTACCTTTTAACAGAAGCTCCTCCACAACATTTCACATGGTGCAGTGGAAACAGCATTGGCTATGGTTCTCAGAGGACCT